CATCTTTTTATGATCAATAGCTTTTATTTTCCCCTCCCTCGAGGAGAGGGAGCAAATTAACAACAGTTATGTAATCCCTGCTAATATGTTGCATACGTATATAGAACAGAAAAAAACCCACAAAATACTTCTCAATACCAAATACGATACATTGAAGGACACTAAACCTGAACTTTACAGAAAATATTCAACTTGCTGCTTTATTGAAAGCAACACAGTAAAGTCCCAGGCTGACATTGTGATGGAGGATGATGAACACAGCTGAGCTGTGGTTCTTTCAAAAATAAGATGTTAGAAATATAAGAAAGGAACCACGACAAAGCTTGACAAAACCATTTAAAATGGTTTTCTTAGATATTGTCATCCTCGTGAGACAGAAAATGTCTTGATGGGAGACATCTTCCACCTTTGGGAATAGGAGGGGAACTATTATGACCTGACAGAGCTCATAGTAAGTGCCAAACGTTGCCATCTTCCTCATTCTCTTTCGAAGAAGAAATGTCATCCATCCACCATCCATCATGAATAAACCATGTTCATGAAGAGAATTGTGTCAAGCTGAAATGTATCCCAGTAGCATAGGGTGTAAAGTGGGATTGAGTCACAGCTCCATTCCCCCTTGACAGTACACCAGTCCATTTGCAGGGGTATGTACGGTACAAACAAACCCCAATTCAGAATAGCTAATCAAACCTCTTTGAAGATTGGAGGAAACCAAATCACAAGAAGACCATACATGTACAGTACATACATCACGCAGACAGACCTGAGAATTGAACCCAGGACTAACTAGCGAGAACTGCCACAGTATTGTACCACCCATTACTCATACTGTATGCAGGACTTGTCAGCTTTTCTTCCTTAGGGTACTTTTACTAAAGCAAATTTAAATCTGTTTCTACGAATCTTGAAGAAATTTATGTCAAAATTGGTATGTTATCAAATGGGAAAAAAGATCATTAAGAAAACTTTCAATGTAACAATTAACAATTTGTGTAATAAGAACATTTGTATTAAAATACAAAAGAAGAACAGGCATCTGTTCATTGTACACGGCTAAGCTCACATCTTATTATAGGTGTAAAAAATAAGAAACATTATTAATGACAAAATTACAATTTTTATATTAAGATCCAAACTATTTTATTTAATATTTTTTCACATCCTGGAGCTACAGTATGCATCTAATCTTTTTTGATATATAAACAAATGTCTATCTCCTACAGTTTGCTCTTGCTCTTTTTAAGCAAGGCTTGTTACTCTGCTTTAGTTATCTCATCTCCTGAATGCAGAGCTAACATTAAAAAACCCATTGAAAAAAAAATTTGACCAAGTGAGAAAATGGGTCAATAAAATATGATTATTGTAGAAGACATTTGAATAATATTAAAAATATTTGATTATCACTGGGCAATTTAAAAGGACTTATTTTTCATTTCACATGGTCATGACAGTCACACCAGCACATAATTGGTTATGCAATTATGCATATATGCATAATATATATGCATATATGTATAAGATTATGCAGCACATAACCCCGGCGTCCTGGCCAAATTTCCCGTTGGCCCTTACCAATCATGGCCTCCTAATAACCCCCCTCTATGAATTGGCTACATTACTCTGCTCTCCTCCCCACTGATAGCTGATGTGTGGTGAGCGTTCTGGCGCACTATGGCTGCCGCCGCATCATCCAGGTGGATGCTGCACATTGGTAGTGGTGGAGGGGAGTCCCCATTTCCTGTAAAGCGCTTTGAGTGGAGTGTCCAAAAAAGCGCTATATAAGTGTAAGCAATTATTATTATTAATTATTATTATTATAATTAATAATAATAATTGCTTGAATAGTACATCAGTCAAAAATAACATGAAAGAAATTTGGACATGTACTGTATGTTAAAGCATCTATGAAATTTAATATTTACATAATACATTATGTTACATTATGCTTTATTCTGCAAACAAAGTATACAAGTACTGTAGGTATCACAGAATTACAGACCATAGCAGCATATGTTTAATAGAGTTTAATATGAACAGGTACAGTTTTTGGTAGTTAATATTGTTTATTCCAATACAGTTGTCAAGTTCTTAGAGCAGCTGGTTGTGTACTGGGAGTGTGAAAGTATATACTGTTATGATGCTGATTCAATGCAGTTGCTATGGTGACAAACATAGCACCTGTGTGCTAACATAAAAATGTGGGAGGGCAGCAGTAACAAAGCTCCTTGAAAATCCATGAAAGATCAACCCCCCCCCCATCAATACCCTGTTACTTCAGGACTTCTGGTTACAGAAAACTACAACATAACTTGTTAAACATTAACAGTCAGGACAACAGTCAGGGTTTGTGTTCTGACACAGATGCCGGCAAATGAATCAAGTGGATAGACTACACAGTCCATGCTTATTAGTATATGTGTATACGTGGTTTTACAAAGGAAACTGCAGGGAAAGTCAATCGGCCTGTTTAGTACTTGACCTTAGAATTTTAAAATGCAAAATGCAAAGCCTGGTTTATGACTCACCAAGGGAAAGGTTGAAGACATGAGAGGTAGCAAAGCATGGATTTGCTACTCATAATGTTTAGAGAATACACACATTGATAAGGATCAGAGATATACAGGTTGTAAATTAGGAGTGCTGTATCTTTTTTCACAGTCTGCTGTCTATAAGTCACCGAGGTGACAATGGAGAAGAGAGAGGAGTTTGGATGAGGAGAATGTAACTCAACTCAATGAGTCACATTGAGCACAGTAGTGTGGCCTCTTTCCAGTTTTGTAGTTTTAAATTAAAACTGGAGTGTGTTTGCTTCAGAGCACAAAGCTTTTAAAATTTTCAAAAGTTTCAAAAGTACAAAAGTACTCTCATAAATGTAGAAGTTTTAAAACATAGGGATATACTGTACTGTGTAGAGCCATCCAGCACAGAGAGTTTGCCTGACTACTGCAAATTATGGTTCTCATGTGTGTGATGCATTAATCCTTTAAACCCATTACAGTACAGTATGTTATTTGTTAGCTGAATATAAAGTGAAGCTGTGAGATGTGATTTTTACATTATCTAAAATACTTAAACTCACCTGATTCAGTGGTTAAACTTCATGCATATTATTGTAAGTGATAAACAACAGTTTCTGATATTTAGTACACAGTACACAGAATTATGTGTATTTACTTTCAGGAAACTGCGTGTGTAATGTCAGTAAAAATACACAGCAGAAATACAGTAGATTTCCTGTAATGTTTTGTCAAAGATTTAACAATGATGCATGGAAAAAGGAAATGTTTTTTATCACATATTTGTTTACCTTAAAAAATAATGGGATCTTTACAAATTATTATAATCAATACATTGTTGGCAACGAAGGATATAACTTTAAGCCATATTATGTATGTTGACAGTTAACATTCAGTTATCATCTCTAACCTTCTCCACTCTCCCGTTGATGCTTCCTGTGTGACTACGTTAGAGCTTCTTGGTTCTTTCTCCTTTCTCTATTGGTAATTAATCTCCTCAATGAGTCCTTAAAATTGGGTTTTGCTCCTTTAAGGGAAATGTTTTCTCCCACCACACTTGTGTTAAAAAATTGGTCTAGGCCCCTAAGGCCTTAACAGCTCCTGTCCTTTTTTCAATGTACCTTTCCGATAAAAAATTCTAGAATGTGCGATGGCAGCTCAATTACAATTTCATCTTGTATCTAATGAGCTCTTTGAACCTTTGCCATCAGGGTTTAGACAGAGACACAGCACTGAAAGTCACGTTAAGGTAGTTAATGATTTGCTGATTGCTTCTGACTTTGGGTTACTTAATATTCTAGTCCTACTGGACCTAAACCTGTAGATTGTAATACTATCAATCTCAACAAACAACTGACAAGCCTGGCAAATTGGGACTTTTTACTATATGGAGTTTATAACAAAAGTCTGGGAGGAAAGTCAACATCAGATTCAATCTAAGAAAATTTGCTAAATGTCATTTCCTCACCTGAAAACATTATTAATGCTCTATGTTATCCCCTTCTTTCCCTTGCATACATCACTTTGAATCCCATTGGTCACTCCTCACTGTGCATGGGTGTCTGATTCTCCTCGCCCTATAGACACTAGGTTAGCCCTCAGCCAATGGGGAAAAGCCAGATTTTGACTAAAACACTCCATAATCCTTTCAGTACACTTAATTCTTGGGTGGTGTTATTCCTAGCAAATTAATGTTTATATGTGGCCTACTGGTCAGATTATCTGCAGTCATGGACTGTTTTAACTTTTATGCCAATGACCGATTTATTTGCAAACCAAATCAGCATATTATCAAAAAAGCTGAAAGGAATTGGAGGTTGACTAGGCCACGAGACCGGATAAAATTCCTCCAGTGCCCTTTACAAAAGGACCATACTACCTTCCTCCCTGGATCCTCCAAGAAAACTCTCTCCGTAGAACTTTTATTGTGGGGGCTCCATCTCCTAAAATAATAAACAATAGGATTATTCCATGCTGAAAAGAGAAGAAAGAAAACACAACATTTCGGCCATGGAGCCTTCTTCAGGTTTTATCCGAAGCAAATTAGATTTGGACCCGTTTATACAGTTACTGTAGGCACATTACTGAAGTGGAACAAGTAAAAGATTTATTCCATGCTGAAAAGAAAAGAAAGAAAAAGAGCTCACACCTGAAGAAGGCTCCATGGCTGAAACGTGTTTTCTCTCTTCTCTCTTCAGCATGGAATAAACCTATTACTTGTTCCTTTGCAGCCTACACATGCTAATGCAGCTACCCACATAAATTAATAAATACCCTTATACACAAGAACACAATACCTAAAACATACCTCAGTCAATACGAAAATATTTCTTCAATATATTTTCCTTAAAAAACGGAATAATTACTTTTAAAACACCAGTGTTTCCAAAGGGATGGGGAGACCAGCTCCCCTCCAGTCCAGACGAGGGCACTGTGAAAACAGGACAGCAGTCATCTGGTAGCTGTTTCCCAGAGTTTAAATTTGGCCCTGACTCTGAATGTGGTTTTGACTATTAAACAGGTATGTGACCTTAGAAAGACTGACAGTAGATACCAAACATTTCAGACTTACTTATTTTTCTTTTGGCCTCCTACCATAATACACTCCAGAAACAAAAAGGTAAGTACTTATTTAGTTTATTTTACATGCTGGATGTGAGATGTACCCCATCAAAAGGAGCAAGCCTTTTAAATACAGCCTACTGCCAACTTGTGTCAGAGGCATGTGTCTTTAACCTTAAAAATGAGACACATTCCTAATGTAACTGAGAAATTGTTATTTTTTAAAATACTTCTCTCAAGGTTGTTTAGAAAATAATTGCTTGTGATGAGCTTCCAGTTGTGACAGGCTGATCCAGGAAGGACTACTAAGACACATTTTAGTTTCCAGCTGTACTTTTGCAAACCCTTGTATTGTTGCCAGAAATTCAGGGTGTTAGGATATAAACGTATAAAAAATTAAACAGACCCAAAAAAGAAAATAAAAATAGAAGTGGAACAGAGAATCTGTCTTGAGTCAATGTCACTCATGATCTTTACAATCCCTCATACGGTGAAGGATGGTGGTTGACGTCCTTAAAGATCAAGTACTGATCAAATAGGCAGGGCCACAGCTACAGCTTGTGGCCTATCCAGATGAGTGAACTGTTGACAGCCTGTATAATGCCTTACAGTATCTTTCTTCCACTTCCATGCCAGTGTTTGATTAAGGCCCTTGATTAAGCTTATCTGACACTAAAATGTTGTTATAAATGTTTATTTTATCACAATTAGACTGCTGAAGTGTCTAACATACTACATAATCTTTATGGTATTAAACAAGCTTTCCAAACTTTGGTGGGTCATGTGCTAGCTGAATGTACTCTGCATCTCTCTAGATCCTTCTGAAATATAGAGTGGGCTCTATGCTCACATACTAGAATGCTAAATGCTGCAGCTCCAGGACAACTCAATTAATTGTTTCATGAATATAGTCCAACAGAACAGAGATCTGCTGATTCAGGCCATTTTACTCTGCCAACAGCATTTCTGGCCAGGTCTGTGGAAATACCATACAAATAAGTTCCAAAGGGGAAATGGGAGCCTGTGTGAAATACCAGTCCACCACTCCGCACGCATGCTCGCAGAGGTGATTTAGAAACTCCAATTAAGCTTAGCTTAGCCAGCGTGTCTGGTTTGATGGCATGTAGAAATTGGAGATCCCGGGACAAAACCCAGGCAAACACAAGATGAAAGAAGAAAAACACACCCCAGTTTGAAATCAAACCCAGAACTAGATATCTGTGACTCAGCAGCACTCTAGTACAGTATGTCAATATTTGTTAATAGTTACAAAAAATGTCTCTGTCTAAAACAAACTTTTTGATTTAATCACAATTTAGAATTAAAATGGTAAGTACCAAATGTTTTTTCATAAAGTCTTAAGAAGGTATGACCCCTTATATTGGAAAATATTATATTAAAATTCAGCTTTTCTTTCCTCTACCTTCTACCAAATAACTACCAAAACAAGAAAAATATGTAAGTTACACAAACATAGATATACGCTTCCATAGTTGCTTTAACTCTTTCCAGAATAATGGCTTTCAAACTAAATCTCACATAAGATTTGAACTTCACTAAATTTGCTAAGCTAGTATATTTATTCCACTGCAATGGAGAATAACAGAATTCACATATTACGTTGGGAGCCTCATTTTTCACAACAGTGTTCAGTTCACTGATTCACTTGCTTAAAACACTGTTTGTCACATACTATTACCCAAAATAGGATATATTCTGTTGAAGGCCTTGTCACTCTCATTTAATCTCAGTAAGATACCAAACTCTCTTCAGTACATTAGGAATATATCTAGATCTACTTGGTTAAGTTGTTTGTTGTTAAAGTTGGGTTTTGAGGCCCCAGAATCTCATACACTGTTTTGTTGTATGTGCACAAAGACAAAGGGTTCCAGTACTTGCTTGATCTGGCTACCTAAGTACATCCTCCTTATAAATGAAACAAACTTTTCCATGTTAAATCAAACCTGTTCAGAGAACTGATATGACGAATCCTGTTCCATTGGTAGAAGTACTAATTCAGACAGAGACACACTTTAAAAATGACATTCACAAGAAAGACTCTTAAAACTTGTTTTCTAAACATAGGACAGTTCAGATAATTAAATTTGACTTACAACATTACATCCCATTCACTTTCACACAAAACATGTACTGTACTTTGATCATATACAGTATGCATCAAAAAGACAACACATGAGCTGGAACCACAAGCATCTATTGCATTTTACTCTCAGTATATAAATACAATCTTAAGAAAAAGTAACACGATTGCATATTCCATCAATTGGATGAGTTCCTCAGATCAATTAGCTGCTGGAAACTAAATGAGATTAATTAGTAATGAGTAAAACAGCCTCTTCTTGTTTGTATCCTTTTCCCATTCTTAATCAATTCAGGTTTGAAATTGTGATTGACTTGGCCATTACATTGATTTTGGGCTTTTCAAAACCATGGATCGATTGTGGGCTGACAACATACTGTATAAATATCACTGGGAAGGGCTTAACTCTTTAACTGTTCTTTAAGTCCATTTTAAAAAATGTCCAGAAAGTATAAGTTTTCTGTGTGATAAGTAATGAATTATCTTTGACAGAGGCTTTTTTACTATCATTAATGTTCTATATTAACAATTAATCGATAATCAGAAATATTTCTTTCTATACTAAGAATTTTATTACTCATGCACTCATTCGCAGTGAAATGAAACAATAGTTTAATGTTCATATATTTGTATATTAAATGTAATCATATTCATTATGGTGTAATTAACATGTACTGTGGTGGAATTATGGTCTACTTTATCTGCAATAGGTTCATGTTGAGTAGGTAGTTGTGTCAGTATGCATAGGCTGCAAAGAACAGGTAAAGGTTTATTTCATGCTGAAAGCAAAACAAAATAGACACAACAAAAATAGAGAGATTTTACCTGCTACAAGACTATAAGAAGAGTTCATAAGACAAACAGTTGACAACTTGAAACATGAGAAATGGTTTTGAATAATGAATCATGAAAGAGTGCATTATTTCTAACAGATCTAGTCTCCAAAAAATAATTGCACAGTAGAAATATATATTTTTAAAATTTAGTTAATACATGTTGTTAAACATGTCATTCTACAACTTAAAACTGAAAATTATTTTATTTTTGCCATTACTGTGCAGTATATTAATCTGCTTTAAAAGAGTAAGAGGTCTGGAGAGAGTGTACCCAGCAGCCATATCACCCTGCATATCAGCCATATCACCCTTTGGATGAGACATAAAACCGAGGTCCTGGCTCTCTGTGGTCATTAAAAATCCCAGGGTGTTTCTCGTAATGAGTAGGGGTGTAACCCTGGCGTCAAATTTCTCATTGGCCCTTACCAATCATGGCCTCTTAATAATCCCCATCTATGAATTGGCTTCATTACTCTGCTCTCCGTCCCACTCATAGCTGATGTTTGGTGAATGTACTGGTGCACTATGGCTGCAGTCGCATCATCCAGGTGGGGCTGCACATTGGTGGTGGTGGAGGGGAGTCCCCATTACCTGTAAAGCGCTTTGAGTGGAGTGTCCAGAAAAGCACTATATAAGTGTAAGCAATTATTAATTAATTATTACCCTATAAATGCACTACTTTCTATGCTGGGGACTGACTAAAAAGAGCAAATTCCAACACTTAAGTTATCTGAAGTACAGCAGCACCATTGGAGGGTAGTACACATTCTGTTTACTCACATATTCTTTATTAAATTTACTTGGACAACACTCCAAGTTTTAACATGTTTTAATTTGAAATGGACATGATGTGTAATTTCACATACATGCTCCTAATTCTTTCATTTTCCAGCCTGATTAATGCACTTAGAGGCTAATGGCATCTTTCCTGGTCTTGCCAGGTTGACACAGATGTATGAATTTGTATGAAGTTGCTCAACATGAACCTAAAGAAGCACTGACTCTACAATGAAGTGTCTACATAGACTGCTCAAAAGAACTTACAAGATCAAAGCTGACATTTTAAAAGCAGTACAGCTTGCATTGCTGTCCATGGGAAAATGTGTAAACATCCGAGAAACCAACGTGCATCTCATTCTGCCCTCTGGTTGTATCAGCGAAGTCCATGTTAACCTGCCAAAATGCCTCCTACTCAAATTGTTACCTGTTATGCAATCTGTTATTATTAATGAGGGTTCTATTTTCATTTTTGCTGTGTTCTCACCAACTTTAAATGTACTGTATATAAGTAACTTTGCTAGATAAATACATAGACCTATACAGTACATGTTGCTTTGCACCCTATTTTAAGAATGGCATAAATCAACCAAGTAAGATTGTTTTTTGCTGAAAATTGCCAAAAAACAACAAAGAAAACTCTCTGACTTTCTGTTAAACAATTTACAATTCATATAAAATCTTTAAAAATGTATCACAGTAGGCCTCCGATGATAGTTTTCACTCCATACATCTGAATAAAGTCGTTGTCATTCAGGCTCTGAATTTCAGGCCTCACATTGCCAGTCAAACTTTCCAAACAAAGTTTTATTTTATATATACAGTAGGAAGATTTTCAAGGCATAGGACGTTTGTACAGCAATACTTCACAGCCATTTTTTCCATATCTTTAATCAGCAAGGTTTATTTTGCTTAGGTTTCTCCTGACTAAATTAAAGTTGCCCATTAGTATTCTTGCTGCATGTTTGTTGTTAGCAAGAAAGAATAAGAGATGCATAACTTGAACTATTAGCATATTATTTAACATATCAATTTACTTTTCAGATAATATTATTATTTTACATCTCAATTTACTTGTCTGAGAAATTGATTTCTTCACATCTTTGGTTTTCTTTCTTACATTATAAAGTAGCTGTTGTGTGATCAACAAATACACTGCAACTCCACTGAGTCCCCAGGGAATGTGCAACTAATTACGTTATATTGTTACTCCTCACTCATTGAGACAGTTAAATATTATCAAGTGGCAAAAAAGCTTAATTGGTAGAAAATTCAGTTTATGGCAGAGCTATTTATCTTCCTTTCCAGCCTTAGGATTTTTTTTTTGTCTTTTTGTCTTGCCCT